GCACCCTCCCGCGCCCTGGCCAGAAGAGAGCAAAGTCAATGGAAAGTTTCACCCTTAGCAACTCTGCACACGGATCCTTGACACCATTTTAAAGCATCTTCCCATGATCCCCTTATCCTCACAACCGACACACACTTTATCCGTACATAAAAAAATATAAAAACAGCACCCTCCTTTTTGTGCATGTGATTCATCTTCCACTAAACAGCTCTCCTAATCATGGTCACTGTTTGCAGGGTTCCCAGAAATGTTTGTGATCCGAGGCTCCTCCCAGTCTGCCCACCACAGTGATCAAGAAATGTGCAGTAACTTTCAGATTTGTAAACATAAATGAAGGTTGTCTAGTCTTGTGCGAATTCTCTCTCTGTATATATTTCCTCCAAACTTTTGTTCCCATATCTTCCATAATTGGGTCTAAAGACTGCACAAAGGTTTACCAGAAAACCTGTGTCAGGGGTTTCCCTTTAGGCTGGTGTTCAGTCTCTGAACTCACTCATAGCTCCCTATTTCCTTAGTAGTCAACCTCAGTTTCTTTTTTATTTATTTATTTATTTATTAGTTTTCGGCAGACACAACATCTTTGTTCGTATGTGGTGCCGAGGATTGAACCCGGGCCGCACGCATGCCAGGCGAGCACGCTACCGCTTGAGCCACACCCCCAGCCCTCAACCCCAGTTTCTGCTCTGCCTCTGACAGTTAGTTGCTTTGGGGATTCCACCTGCTTATATTCCTTCATTTTCAGCTTCCTGGGATGGGAAACAAATACAAATGACCCAACGGCCCCTGAAAATTAATGTATTACCGGCCAGGCGTGGTGACACACACCTGTAATCCAAGCAACTTGGAACCTGTAATCTCAGCAGCTTGGGAGGCTGAGGCAGGAGGATCAAGAGTTGAAAGCAAGCCTCAGCAACTTAGTGAGTCCCTAAGCAATTCAGTGAGACCTTGTCTCTAAATAAAATACAAAAAAGGGCTGGGGATGTGGTTCAGTGGTTGAGTGCTCCTGAGTTCAATCCCCAGTACCAACAACAAAAAAAAAGTATTACCTTCCCACCAAGCATGAATTCTAAGGCCATAACTGGAAGGTCCCTCCTCCAGCTTTCCTGTAAATGCACAGACCCACAGACACAATCAGTGGAGAGGAAGCCTCCCATTGGGGGAGAAACACAAGTCACCCTAGGTTGCTGGCAGGTCCTCTGCCACTTCAAGCCTTTCCTCTCAGCTCTGTATTTCTGCTCACCAGGAAACAAGTCATTTGATATACAATAGCATCTACTTGACACCTGAGCTGGTGAAAACCCATTTCACTGCAATGTGCCAGCACCAGGCTGACCAACACATCCCAACTCAACCAAGGAGGGTGAGCAGGGCATCGTGACTCTCTGTCACTGCTGTGGGGAGACCTGATTCTCAGTGAAAGCCTGGTGCCATGACATGGGCAATCATCCTGAGAAATCTTTCCAAGACACAGTGCCTTAGTCCTGAAGTTTGCTATGGGACATTGCCATGATTCAAAAGTATAACTAACTCCTGCCACTTACTTTATTTTTATTTATTTATTTTTTTGTGCCACTTACTTTAAAGATGCAGAATAAGGGCAAAGGCAAATCTCTGTGCTGGCAACCTTTAACTCAATGAAAAAATGATGTGAACTGCCAGAGAGCCAGGAGGGGTGCCATTATCTGGAAATAGATGACAGCTGGCAGAGTGTGTCTTCGGTGTCCATCTATTTAAGAAGGTAGAGTCCTTGATGGTGAAGGCAGCAAGGGCCATGGTCTAGAAGGGCAATGTGATCATCTCAAGATGAGCACACTGATTTACAGAATCCAGAAAACAATATAACCATCTGGAAGGTTCTATGTCATGAAATGTGTGAAACGCAGATCAGAGGTCCACCGGGAGGGTGGTAGGATGCAGGGGAGAAGTAAAAAACAAAACAAAACAAAACAGAACAAAAAAACGGAGAAAGATTCCATTGGAAGGGATGGATGTGTCTATGTCCTGAATGGGGATAGATAGGCTGGGACACAGAATCAGCAGCAGCCCTTTTCGGGCTAAAAGGCAGAGGACCCACTAAAGGGTGGTGGTAGGGGATGGCTTGGCAGGCAKAGGGGGAACCAAGTCAGAGCTGACCTCCCTGGACACTCCCTGTGGCTCCTCCTGGACACTCCCTGGGCAGAGTGAGGGTGGGGGCGCAGATGTGTGGCCAAGCAGCAGAGTGTCCTTTCTGGCCCTCTCTCCTGGCTATGGAATGGAACTGGG